AAACCGGACGTACATTCGTAGACTTTCACAATAAGACGTGGACATCCGAAGAACTTCAATAAAACAAGCAAATTGCGTTTATATTTATGATTGATTAAAAACTTACTTCTAAACATGTATTTTTATATCTAAATCGTTGTAAAGTAGGTACTTAGGAAACCTAGTAACATATTTAGTGAGCTTTTATTTTTACGATCACCATTCGGATGTAGCTTGACATTAACGAAGCTAGCTTAAATCTTTCTTAATGTTGTCCTCTCGTTCAGTTTTTGGAGCGTAGAGAGAGTGAAGAGGGTAGGTACTTGCTTACCTGTTGGGATACCGAGTATCACTACCAAAATTTTTGGATTAGCTTGATTCTCACTATATTCCCGGTCCAGCCATGGATATAAACGAGGCGTCGTGGAGGGAAAGCTGGGCTTTAAATCTCTCTTTTCTTCCCAAAGGCTTCTTTTGATTTTAAGCGCTGCCCCATAGCAGGACTGGACGGTGTTTTTAACACACCTGACTGCTATAAAAGCGCGTATTTCTCAGTTTTCGTGCAGCCGACTATTTTAATTGCTCGTTCGAGTTTTGTTATTTACACTTTTTTTGGGGGGAGGTGGGGAAGTTTTGGCTCCCTTGGACAGCGGAGGCGTTTGGAGAAGTCAGGACTGACCACTGGAGCTGGTCCTGAAAAATGGAGGCTGTTATCGAGAAGGAATGCAGCGCTCTTGGAGGACTCTTCCAGACAGTCATTGGAGACATGAAAGTAAGTAAAAAAAAAACTTTAAGTAGCCGAAAACCTCTTAACTAAATATTTAGTGGTATAAACTCAACTAAAATAGACACACATTTTTGGGGGGGTTGGAGCTTTTTTAGATATATTCCAAATCAAAACTTTCTATTGCAGCAGACTGGGCTCCTTTTTTGATCCAAGCTGAAATAAATGTGGCTCCATCATTTCTTCCCACTCTGGACAGTCAGAATTAGGGCATTTAATTTCTGTAAAAGCACTACACATCATTTCCTCAACCCCCCAGCTGCTGTATGTGCCTGAAGGCATGCTGGAATTTAGCTATCAGGGTAGAAAATGACCCAGAAGTAGAGAGACTGACATCAAATCAGCCAACAGGTATGCTGGAGTGAAGGAGTTTTATTTTTATGAATTTGGACTGAGGTCTTCAGCGCCTCTCTGCATGCCCATGTCCCTCTCTGTAACTTACTACAACTGACTTGTAGCATGCTGCCAGACTCATTTTTTCCCCCATCATTTATGTTATGGTACAGCTAATATAGGATTGTACTCAGGAAGCAAAAAATACACATGTTGTATCTTATATTTACTTGGCTAGAAAAATGTTTGTGCACTCTGAACTTTTTCATTTTTTGTGCAATTTTATGGGATTCATGTGATGAACTGAAATGAAGTTGTGCATTTGAAAAAAAAAAATAGGCATCTATTTGTGCACCCTGGTAAAACCAAATGACTTTTCAAGTCAACTAATTAGTAAATTGAATCTTGCTGTGTTTCATTTAATTTCAGTATAAAAACATATTTCAAACTCTGAGGTTTGTTTGAGGAAGTCAACAAACAGCATTATAAAGGCCAGGGTTCACATTGCATATGTCATCAGCTAATAAAACAGACTTAGACAGATTTTATTTTGTCATTTTGTATACACAAGTGTAAAAAAAAAAAAATGAGTAAACAAAATTATTTGTTTTAAAGTGCAGCCTTGATAAGGTTAGCAGCAGTGATAAAAAAAATAAATAAAAAAACACATTGTGATGGAAAAACAGTTAAAAATTAAAATGAAAAAAAAAAGAATAACAGTATCTAAGCTTTGAGCACTGTTTAATCCATCATGTGAATATGAAAAGACAGACTGAAGAAGTGACCTCATCATGGTCGGACGTGACTATACGTGAAACTTTGTGCCTGTTATACCGATTTGCTGTTTGATTGTAATGAATGAGAATCAGAGAATCTCAGCAATGTAACATAGTGGTGGCAGTGTCCTGCTGGGGAGATTTTTTTTCCTCCTGGAAAGTGTGTCTAACCTGAAAAGGAGTTTGATGGAGCTAAATAGAGTCAATCCTAGAAGAAAGCCTGTTTGAGGCTATTATGGCAAACAGAGGTACAGTAGGAAAATGGTTTGGATACTTTACTTTTCAAGACCACGTTGAAGAAAAAACCCATGGACCATACTATTTTATAAAGTCACAAGATATATGACTTAACCTGTCAAGTCTCTCTAACTGTATTTCTAATGACTGCTAGATCCTCAGTGCCTCCAGGGAACATAGTTCAGTGGTAACTCCTAGTAGCTCAGGTAAATACGCGAATAAGGGTTGTAAATTTAAATTTATACAAGCCAGCACAAAGAAAGAAATAAAGAACAAGAAGGAAGACAAACATTTAAGGCTGAAAAAACAACCATTTATTGCTATTTTTATAGCATAAATCTAACATTCAAACTCCAGAACACAAAGCTGCCTCTTAAGTGGGGTGACATTATAGTTGGTGGCCAGAGCAGTTCTTACAGGGAGGCTGTCAACAAATGGAAGAGTGTAGGAAGCCAAAGGTGAAGCTAATAAGTGAATATATTAAAAGGATGCTTGAAATGAGTAAAGTGAAGGATCTAGAGTGCCACAGAGTGAGAAACCGACCAGAAGCTGTGGTGGTGATGTAACACATAAAGAAATTTGGGGATTTCAACTTAATTGTTGGGTGTTATGTTCGACAGTACAACATGACATTCCTCAGGCTCCTGACACTAGTGCCACAACAGTGACAAAAATGCACATATTCTTTAGGCATCTTTCCCTCCTTTTTTACAGTTCTGTTAGTGTGCTCTGTCTCATTCCTTTGGCTTTGCTTTCTGCAGCTGTTTTAGTGCAAAGCTCTTCGACTACTATTAGCTCAGAAATTTTTTTGGGGGGGAGAAAAAAGATCAGTGTCCCATCTGGAACCGGACTCATTATACCATAGCATTAGTGCACTCATTGTGTTGGATTCTCTCCAAAGGAGGCCCATGACCCATTTTGCAGCCTAACACGCAAGGAGGACATGATGGTAATCTTTATTCACCATTAAATCTTGAGTAAATCTGACTTTAATTGAACTAAATAAAGCATAGTTTTTGGGAAACAATTTGAGGTAGTATAATATTAGATTTTAGTCTGTTTTTGTGAACAATTAACATTTTGAAATCATGAAACAATCAGGTATAATTGCAAGTAAAACATACCGTGATAAGTGACTTAACAGGGCTGCATTTATAAGCAATCTCACTCCTGTTCAGGTGAGTTCAGGCAGCAGGATTGGGCTGTAGGTTTTGAGCTGCTGGGTTCATAATCGTGAGAAGAAAAAAAATTGTTCTGATGGTGAAATTGCATCATGCTGTTTTTTTAATTTTTTTATCTCTTGCTCCCACAGAGCAGCTGCCCTATCTGGGAAGATTTTATCACCAAGGCTGGAAAACTGCAGTCACAGCTCAGGTGAGTGCGTGACTATGTGCACATGTGGCGTTTTTCTGTTTGTTCCAGTCTATAACAAAAAAAAAAAAAACCGAAACACATTTTAAATTTAAAATTTAAGCATCATTTTTTTATTTCAAGTTTAATTATGCAGTTTTCTCTTTTATTATTTTAGTTAGTGGATCATTTTGGCCTGCATTGTTCTTTTAAAGTTGTCACAATAGTAGAAGCATAATGTTGAGATTTCTGGAGGCGTTTTTGATATGTAAAATTAAAAAGAAAATATTACACAGTACTTACACAGAAATGATATCTATTACCTTTTGAAAAAGCTGGGGTGAACAGTAGGAAGGTTTGAAGTGGTTTAATTTGTTATTTTAACGTTTCCACCAATATATCCTCATGCTGTGGCACAATGCTGCAGTGATATGAGCTGATAATGAAGTAATGCCAGAAGCTGAATACTGCTTGTACTATGACCAATTTTTTGTTTTTTTTTGTTTTGGGGAAATAATATTTAAAGTTAAACTAAATGTTCAAAGGATCACATTCGCATCAATTGAACAAACTTTTTTTTCAACTATAAACTCAATTTTGCAACTGAATTTGTACTTGATAAAAATGTTTTACCAAAGCCGTGTAGCTTTATAATAACAATATTACATCTAATCTGTTTCTCAACATTTTTTTTAAGTAATTATTTCTAATCCCCCCCCTTTAAATAGAAGTTGTTTTACTTCAGTAATCTTTCAATATTTGTCCATTTATACACCATCTACCATAATCGGTCCAAGTCATGGCAGACAGTAGCTCTTCTAGTTGGATTTAAGTGGCCACGTGTCAGAGGACAAACAACTTGTGACAGTCGGGATAAAAGATTTTTGTCCAACAAGTACGGCAAATACAGGCTTCCTGTGGTCTAAATTATTCTTTGATTAACTGTACATGGCATTTCCCCACCGGTTAAGGTGTCCTAATGCTGATTCTTACTGACGGTTCTTTAAAGATTCAGTGACATAATAATAACACGCTGAGTCTGCTTCTGTTTTCCTCTCTGTTCTGGTTGATTATTGTTGAAATGTTATTCAAGACTCGCCTCCATTCATGGGTTACATTTCTGACCCTTCTTTCTGAGAATGTCTTGGTATTTGTTAGCTTGCTGCTAATGACTCGATGCTTGAAACTAAAATGCTAACCTTGGTCATCAGGTGAGTGTTGAACAAACAAACGTCTTTACATCCCCTCCTAGCTGGTTGCTAGCTGCGTTCGTCTGGTCACTATGGCTGCTTGTTGTGTCATAAGGGTTCACATGTGTTTTGCAGCCCTGAAACTTTCCAAAAGAATTCATGAAGGGACTGTATACAAATGTGAAATGCTATTACACTGCAAAAAATGTAAATCTAAGTAAATTTCTCATTTCGCATTTTTTCTTGAATTGAGCAGGTGAGACACTTTGCCAATGGAATAAGACAATTTAAATAAAAAAAAAGATAAAACAACTGCAGTCTATTTCAAGTGCATAATCTCTAATGACCTTATTTTAAGGGTAAAAATTAACATTCCATTGGCAGATCATCTTATTTTGGCACCCAAATTAAGGGTAAAAACACTTATTTTAAATTTTTTTTACTACTTTTCAGAACGTTTTTGCAGTGTAGTTCTACATGGAACTTAATTTTTTTTCTATGGGTCCAATGTCCAGTGAGCTGAAGGGTAAACTACTGCAGCTCTAGACTCCTCACTGCTGATACTTGTTGACCAGCAAGTGGCTCGACCCCAAAACAACTCTAACAGAATCCTAACTTCCTAACTTAAAATGTTAAAAACAAAATATTGTAGTTTATTTTAGGAATGCACCCCTACACCAAAAAAAAAAAAATGCTTCTTTAAAAAGCACTACAAACCATTGCAGTTCAGAGCGCCGTACATTCTCCCAGAACCGCTCAATGAGTGCTTTCAGAAATGTTGGCTTCCTGCTTTACACTGAAGTTCATTCATAGAAAGATGAATACTCTGTAGTATATTTAGACTAGGCTTTTCCAGGTGAAGTAAGGCACAGGAACCCCACCCCCAAACAGAGCAGCGGTTGTGATATTAGGCTCTATAAAGACGTAGCTTTGTTTTTCTGGGTTGACCGGTGTCAAATCCTTTCTGTCCATTTTTAGACCAGTGAGCCTTTACACTCTAGAGTTTTGCACCTCTGTAATCTGTTTGCTCTATTTTGGTCATCTAACAGTAAAACACAAACACACCCCTTCTTCTCATCTTGGTCAGGAGATGTTACCAGCTAGCAGTAGTAGAAGCACATGTCGCTGGGTGTAATGCAGCTAAAGGCAGTCTACTCTGTAATTTAGCCCCTCTGCTCACCCTCACAAAGCAGCCAGGATATCGGCCAATTACAGTGTAGGAGCTGTTTGGTGGGGTTTTATTTTCTTTAAAAACACATGCTCTGATATTAGGCAATTTCTCTGTAAATTTGTTCGCAGTTAGTTTTTCTTTTTCAGTGGATGCATTCATATCAGAGCTTTGCTTAAAGTAACACATTTTTGACAATATGAGTGGATATTTAAAGTTTCTTATGATGTTTCATTTACAATGCTTTAAACAGTACTTATGCTATGTTTTTGAAAAAGTTCACCAAACACAACCTCTTTCTATGAGTTTCATTTGAGTCACATTGTAGTTTCAGCTTCTCTAAGAATAGATGGCAGCAGCAGAGCTGAATGTATCATTGTCGTAAAGAGCACTCTGCTGTGCCGTGGCGTTCCCTACTGGGACTTCATATTGGCCCGGCCAAGGCCCTGTGGAATAGATTTGTTAAAGTCGTTTGTCTTGACTTATAGCATGGGTGTGTGCAGATTTTAAAACCAGTGGTAGCAGTCAAATCCTTGTTGGAGTACGGCTCAAAGCTTAAGCTCTTATAGTGCATACAGTGGCTTAGAAAAACATTCACACCCCTTGGGCTGTTTCATATTTATGTCACGTAGCAACCACAAACGTGAAGATATTTTTGGGAGGGGGTTTATTTCATGAACTATCTGTACTTAACCAATACCTTTACCTTTTTCCTCAAATACCCCTTAAAACTTTACAGATAAACCAATTGTCTACAGAAGCCTAATATTCAATCTGTGTTTTTGAAATTACAGTTACTATATGAACAACTTTTCTGTGAAAGCTTCACAGGTTTGTTATGAAACATTAATGAATCTGAATTCCCAAAAACACACTAGACATAGATGGGATATTAAGCAGTATTTTAGGTCTTGTCACATGGTGGTAACATCATGTTGTAGGAAGGTTTTCTCTTGTGCAGGAGAAGGGAATCTGCTCAGATTTGATGGAAGTATAATGGTGCTAAATACAGGATAATTTGGGAAGAGCATTAGGCCTCAGTGAGCTTTAGTTTAGTTGCAAACAAAAACAAGCAGATATTTGGTGAAGTGTAATAGCTTGTAGAGATATACATTTTTAATTACTGCAATCAATGAGTAACAAGTAGTATTACAGCTGGACTGAATACATACGAGTTTGTTTTTGTACCATAATCTTTTACAGCCAGTGGTGCTTATCACACTGATCCATTTTTAGGCAATGAATTAATAAATGATGGATGTAATTTGGTTCCAAGCATAAAAATATGATACACAGATCATTGAGTTCATGTATTAAATAAGTGGAGGCAGATATCAGAGGTTGTTATGGCGCCCGTACCGGGCTTTAAATAGAAAGGCATCTGCGTATGCTTGTGCGTATGTTTCTTTTTCCATATGCAGGGCACACCCATGGATCTTCTGGTCAGCTCTCCCACAAAACACTGCTTGTTAACCTATTCAGAATTACTTTTCTGAATGAGAAAGGTATTTAAAGCTGATTCATACCGATATGGAGGATTGTTGGAGCTTATCCACTTTCTAGCCTCCCTGTGACAATCTGAGGAAGGTTCTCCAATTGAACGCAGAAATCTGAATGTACTGTTGATGGAAAATCCCATGTTTATGGAGGTTTTACAGTTGGCACATGGAATATCCAATGTTTGCAAATTACCCATTTGAACTGTGTTTGTAAACAAACTCAGTAAAGATTCAAAAGACAGTTGTGTTACTTTACGTGGTATGCATCACGTACAAGTGGCCGGATCTCTGTAGGTCTGTGATCATAGGTCACATACGCACACTTGTGCACATTAAGCTTCTTTCCTCTTCATACCTGCTGTGGTCATAATCCTTTATTGCAAAGAATGCAGCTAGTAGCCAACTAGCCTTCTAAAAACACCTTCAGGTACTTGTAAAGACAAAGAAATAATCCTGAAACAGTTGATCACTGATTCATTTGAATAACCAGACATGGGTCTTTCTTCAGCCCCCTTGATTTTCAGTATTATTTTTTCTGTATAAATATTAGTGAGATGATTGAAAGTTGGTTGTGTGGACATGACTTTTTCAATCCTGGAACACAACAGGTTTGATCCCACACTGGTTTCTCCATTGACCTGGAAGTGAGGCAAACTCGGCGTAATTACAGAGACATTCTTCACTCAGCAGGGCACATTCAACCTGTCATTAAAAATGTGTAACGCAGTGTATATTGTTCAGCTGTGAAAACATCAGTCTTGATGTTTACAGTTGAATCATTACAGAGATATCAAATGCATATACATATATATGTTTACACTAATTCCTGCTGTTGGCAGAAATCCAAACATGTTATGTCATGAAAACGGCTATGAATTTGAAACCTAAGAGACACAAAATTAGCGGACAGACAAACCCCTGTAATGCTAAAATGCCAATTTTTTTTATAAGAGAATCAACGGAATTAACAATCATATATACATACATATATTTTCTTCAGAAATTAATATGTGTCATTAATTTTCTAGTGTTTAGCTCCCAAATATCTGACTTAATTTGTAACTCTAAGTCCTTCACCTGCCTGCTTGACCCCATCCCAATAACTCTGGTCAAATCCTGCCTCCAGGCTTCGCTCCTCACCATAACTGTCATTATTAACTCCTCTCTTACCTCTGGAATACTTCCCTCCTTCTTTAAAACCACAGTAATCACTCCTACACTGAAGAAAACTGGGTTTGATCAGAACAAATACAATAGCCTCCAGCTCTTTTCCAACTTGCCTTTAATTTCTTAAATGCAAGAAAAAGCAATTGCTTCACAAATTCCCTCCCATCCAACGTATAATAACCTATATGAACAATTCCAGTCCGGTTTCCGCCCTGGCCAGAGTACTAAAACTACCCTCCTAAAAATCACAAATGACCTCCTAATGGCAGCCAACTCTGGTCTCATTTCTATTCTTATCCTACTGGAACTCAATGCAGCTTTCTGTACAGTTTTTCACTCCATTATTCTCAATACTGTCTTCAATTGGAGTCACTCACAGACCCCTCCACTGGTTCTGTTCCTACCTCTCTGGCCATACTTAGTCCGTCCAAATTAATTCTTTCTACTTAGATCCATCCTCTGTCACATCCGGGGTGCCTCAGGGCTCTGTCCTTGTTGAAATCAAAGCCTAGTTCACCGCTAACTTCCTGAAGCTCAATTGCAACCAAACGAGATCCTCCTGGTAGGAACTAAATAGGTTTAATCCAAGATAGACAGTTTCTCTCTTACAAATGGCAGTTCCACTGTCTCTCCCTCTCTTCAGGTCAACAGTCTGAGCGTCATCCTTGATATCATTCTGTCGTTCACCTCCCAGATACTTCACATTACCCGTTGTGCCTATTTTCACCAACGAAACATTCACTTCAACAAGTCTGTTCGGGTCCTTAGCCCTGTCACCTCCCGCATCATTTACTGCAACTCTCTTCCCCAATCATCTTTTCATAAGCTTCAGTTGGTCCAAAGTTCAGCGGCTCATTCAATTACCAAAACCCCCTCATTCCATCACATCACCCCAGTCCTAAAGGAGCTTCACTGGCTTCCTATCAGCTTCAGAATCCAGTTCAAGATCCTCCTATTTGCTTTCAAGGTCTTCTAGCCTGCTCCCCATACCTCTCAGATCTTCTTCAGATTGCTACCTCCTCCCATACCCTTAGATCTTCCTCTTCCATCCACCTTGCTGAGCCTCTTACCCATCTCGTCATCAGAGGAAGAAAAGATTTCTCCCGCTATGCCCCTAAACCTGATATGTGTGATATTGACACTCTATCTCTGTTTAATTCAAAGCTAAAAACTCATCTATTCAAGTCTGCATACCTCTACTGAGTGCCTTCACTTTTTTTTATAATGTATATTGTATGATATTGTGTTTTTGTTTTTTTTGTTTTTCTACAATGTCCTTGGGTGTCCTGAAAGATACTTTAAATACAATGTATTCCTGTTATTAAACACTTTGTTTGCAGCACAGTGGTCTGGGACATCTTTGACTCTTTGGTTTCATGCATTACAACTGCTCATCCTTATAGGTGGAACCATGAATTCTGCCTTTTAACAGAAAATCTTCAGAGCTTCCCTGGTTATCAGTTTGTGACTTCGGAGGCTGCCCCTGAATGGCTAGAAACAAAACCCAAATGAAAGTCGTAAGAGTCGTCAGGACATATTATGTGAATAAAATTTGGACCAAATCTCTGTCATGTTTAGGCCATGCACAACAGTCCAATCTGATAGTTGGATTCTTTACAAAAAGATCCAGTCCAAGTCAGTTTATAGGCAATACTAGGGCTGTGAATCTTTGGGATTCCCACGATTAGATTTAGAATCGATTCTTGGGTACATAATTCGTTTTTTTTTTCAGATTCTTTTAAATCCAAACGATTCGATTCAGAAACGATTAATTTACGATTCAAAATGATTCTCAGGATCTATTCCAGTCTGCTGGCATGAAAGAAGAGTACATTTATAAAGAATTTCTAATTGTAAATGTTTTATTTACCTATTGCAATAATGTAAACACCAAAAGGTAAATTCTAAGAATAACTCTGGGTGATGTCTTTCGAATTGAGAACGGGGATTTGAAGTACTCTCGAAATACTTAACTTTACAGTTGCAATCTCTGCAAATCGCATGAGTCATGTCAAGCCCTTTCTTACCCAAGCCGGGTTGAAGTTAAAATCCAAAGTGTTTCCAAATGGTTGCTTTTAAAGACCGCGGAGGTGGTTGAATTTCTTTTTCTTCGTCCTCCATACTTTAGCGGCAACAAACACAGTTGCTCACACAACACTACACACCACTCTGTAGCCTGCTAGGCTAACGCTCGCATGCCTGTGCATAGCTCACGCTGCTGATTGGTTTCGCCAAACACTACGCTGCCTGATAAGGCACATCCACACCCACAGAAAAAAATCGTTTTTAAAGAAAATGAGAATCCATTCTGAATCTTTAAATGTTAGAAACGCGATTTGAGCTTAAATAATGAGCTCAAATCTACTGCCTGGGAAAAAATGTTTGCTTAATAAATCTGTTTTCCTATCTCAGGGCAACTGCGGTGGCTGTGGCTGTCTTCCTAGATGCTTTCCAGAAAGTGGCTGACCTGGCCACCAACTCAAGAGGTAGGAATAGTCTCTGTCATGTGGTAAACTCAAACAGTTTGACAGCTGTGTCCCTCTGTTTGTCTTTGCAACTGCATTAAGCTGGACTCCAGTGTTAGGAATTTCTGTGGATCGCCTGCTGTATTGTGTGGGTAATAAATCCATCAGTATGCAGCTTGAAGCTCTCCTGTTAGCTTTGTGTTTGACCTCTGCTCACCTTTTTTTCTACTTTCTGTAGCACAGACCCCCCCACCCACCCCACAGATACACACACACACACACACATACACATACACACACACACCGCTGCTACATCTGGGCTGCTCTATATGTGTGAGAGTGGGAATGTGGAGAGAGCAACAGATCTCATCTTTCCCTAGCTTGGACACTTCATACACTGTCCTATTAATAGGAACTGAAACACACACATTCATTACCTCAATCACAGCACTGAGGTTGATACAGAGGAGAGAGAGGGGAGCTGAAGGAGTGCAGGGAGTGATCCTCTTTGTTTTTCTTTTGTAAAAGAGTCCAGATCAGTTAGCTAAATAACCTCACATCACTATTTCTCTGCCTCTTTTCACTCCAAATCTTATGTAAAGCCTTTATTCAAATTCAAAACAACATTTGTGCCTCACAGAAGCGCATCTTCACCTGACTGTGTGGAGGTGGATTACAACAAGTTCCCTGCAACCTTGTCTGAATTGATTCAGGGTTCTGTTGCCCAGTGCATGTTAATCCTCCTAATGTATTCTAAATGAATATGGAAAGTTTCCAACCACAAATTCCCTGCCTTTTTTTTTTGTTATGATTAGACTCCTCTGAAAGATTTTAATTGAATGTTTTGATGGCTGTAAAAGACCTAAATATATTGGTGAAAAGATTAGCTTTAACATCGACCTAAAGTAAATTTTTAATGCTGTTTGGGGGTTTTAAAAGGACTGCAGAGAATACTTAGAATATCTAGATGGCAGATCTGTTAGTCTGGGGATAAAGATGGGTTTTTATCCTTAAAGTCTAATGAAATCCTTGGTAAAAACTTAACCCCGCCCCCAGACACGTTTTGAAAAATGCCATCAAAGTGGGCAGTGCACAAGAGACTAAGGGACACAGCTTTAAGCAGAGGTGTGGTCATAAATCTATTCTTTTCTTCCAGCTTGTTTTTTCTGCTAACACAAACACCTATAATTTCAAAGAGCCTTTGTTTCAGTCTAATTCAGTTATGGACCACATCTTTTTGTCGTCAGTTGCCGTTGGCGGCTCAGGAATCTTCACGTAAAGCAGGTTGATTCCTTCAAGTATTATCCGCGTTTCACCTGACAGGGTAACCAGTGATTTGGACCTCAGGGGTAAATGTTTAATGTTGGAGGAAAAACAGTTTTTCTGCTGTCACAGCAAAAAATGCAGCCATAAAGCAACCGCTACACAGAGTCAACGTAGTACAAGGCTCTTAATCATGAAACCTACCTTTCGGCAGCTTTTGTAAATAGTTTTATGCCTTTGAGATATTAACATTGAATGATAGCCTTATAAAGATTCAGATCTGTGGACGTTTTGGTTTCACATTGGAGAAACGTTATAGGTTTCAAATGAAACTTCTTCGAGGGCTCCTGACTGGCCTATCATTAAGGCCTGCTGGATTTGACCACATACTGTTTATGCATTTTATACATGATATACCTCTTTGTATTTTGGCTTTTAAGAACAATTTGGTTTAAATGATTTGCGTGATTTGAATCTTTTTTTCTATTTCTATTTAGACCTAATTTCCTCAGCCAATACTTCTGGAATATCTTATTTTTAAGGCTCACTCACTATCCCTCTCGACTGTTTTGAATGGTAGTGCATTTGCAGCAGAAAGGATTTCCTCAAACCACCTTTTTCATTGAGCTTCTGTTCTCCAGGTTTAAACCTTCCATCAGTAAACCGCTCATTTTGTTTGTTCCATGTTAGTCTATACTTTGCTATATATCCAGGCTGTTGTTATCCTGGCCTTAAGTGAACTTCTACAATAATTTGTCTTCATTAAATACTTCATTTTCTTTTTGTTGTAGTTTTCCTTTTGTAGTTTCAGGGTAAATCTTTCTTTAGTTTTTGTTTATTTTAGTAAAAGGCAAATAATTCTCAGTTTTCCTAACTTCATCTAGTTTCATAATGTATTAAACACCTAAGCTTGCCATTTTGTTTTAAGAGTTTCTGTAGAGAGAACCTAAGAACACCTTTTTCACTTTGAATTCTTTTAAAGTTTATAGTACACATTAGTTGCTTTTCAGTAGTCTGATCCAGAAACTAACAGCAGCGCTGTTAAACAAACCAAAACCTTAAAAAGAAGGTGGGAATGTGGGAGAGCAGCTTTAAGAGACTCTATAGCCGCTTGTGTAAATTCTTCCCCTTTAACCCTCTTCACTCTTCTACTGTGTTTATACACATCTTGTAGTTAGATTTTTTTTTTTTTAGCTATACATTTACCTGAAACCTGTAGCTGCACATCAGCACAAACCAATCTAGGAAAGTATACAGTCCATTCCCATTTTCATGGCTTTTATAAGCCTAGATGGTTGTTTATCCTTGTTTAAAAGCCAGTTTTTTGCAACATTAGAAATTGAACCATGATGAATAATTTCAGCCCACTTCCCACCATTATTCTGGCTCATACCCAGTACAATTTAATGGATAAACAAATCTCAGAGGGAAAAAAATTGTAGGAAATGATAAAGCTGGCATAAAATAATTAATCCAAAGGAAATATACTGATTATATATAGATGTTATTGTACGAAGGTAACAGCAGGCAGCATTGGGAAAAAAAGATCTCCATTGTTTTTTTTTTTATATATATATCGTACCAAGGTGAACACAGTTATCTTTAATCGCAGGATAAAGAAGGATACAGTGACAGGTAGGAAGGTTGCCAGCAGGCGAAGGGAACACTGAAGGTACTGCAGTAACTCTATATATGCTCAAAACAAACCGGCCATCATAAAACAGTCTCTAAACCATCTGGTAGTATCCCAAAACTAAAGTGTTGAGCAAGAACATCCCTGCACATCTCAAAAAGATTCCCAGCTGTTGGGTTCTGAGGTCACTGCACTTCAGATATAGCTAGGCAGATGATAAACACATTCTGATTCAAAATATTCAGGTTTGAACGCTGACAAGTGCCTTCTGTTACCAACACAGCAAGTCCAAGCACTGATACAAACCAGCAATAGAAACAGGTTGCCAGAAGAATGAAAGTTTTAGACCCCATAATCTGATAGATTTGGAGAATTTTGCTAGACAGAATAGGCAAATTTTAAGGGTACTACTGAAAAAGAATGATGGCTAAACAACGTTTCAAGAGAACTTCAAGTACATAATTTCAGAGGGTTTTGCTGGATTTTTGTGTTTTTGCATCTCCCCAGAAGTGGAGATCCTACAAATTGTTATAGTTCAGAATCCACTAAATGCTTGATACAGAGATATAAATATACATATATCGTAGGTTAATTTGTTGTGGATCTGCAGAGTTATTTTCTCTAAGCAGGGTGACGGCTAATAGGCTTGATTACTTGATTTGATTTTAAATCAAATCATGTGCTAGCCTTACTGAGTTAACGTGTTTTTTAGCCTGACCTTAGACGTGTACTCGTATTTTGGGAAGGACTTAACAACGACTTTCACTGTATGAGAGACAGAGAAGGCAACCCAACTGTGTTTAAGTTGATCAGATTAGAAACTGACTAAAGGTGCCGGTTTGATGACATTAGTTAACCCTACTAAAAATACTTCAAGCTTTCCTTTGCCATCTTGTTTGGAATTGGAGTTGTTTTTGTTCATCTGGATTACCATTGTCCTCCCGATCATGTTTATTTTATCCTAAACATCATAATCCAGATAGCATGTTTTCTATGATCAATCCACTCATTTTTGTTTTGATATATTTTTTAAATTTTGTTTTATTTTTCGCAGTTCAGTTATTTTAAGCCTCACAAAGCAAACTCTTGTGCTATATTTTCAGATTTGATTTTTTTATCTTGAGATATGTCCTTATTATAGACTTTGAACTGATAAAATATGAGTCAAAAGTGAAAAGTTTTAAAATGAAAAAGGTCTTAAATCCCTTTATTCTCTTCTAAAATTATAATTAGGAACATTTATTTTAGATAATGTCACACCTTTATTCTTTTTGGATAACTTTCCTTCTCCTTTGGAGGATTTTCCAGCTCCCTCTTGCTAAATGTTCTGATCGAATTTCCTTAAACTCCCAATAATTGTTCAACATTATTTAGTAAAAGTGATGGAGACGGTGAATGGTCCAAGTTTATTATGTTAATGAGGTTTTGAGCCATGAATTTAATTTTATTCTAACGATGGTGTTTATCTGTCTGCGTTATAATCTTCATGCGCCGTTCTCTCCTTTTTGTGTTCTGATCTTGGAGGATGTTAGCTGTTGAATTATGCTTTTTTTCTTTTTTTTCTTCAAATCTTTTAAGGTTTAATTAGGGCGTTTAGCCAAAAATACAGACAAACTTGTCAGTAAATTTCCTTCCCTTTTTCCTCTAAAACTTGAATTTTGTTGCTGGAAACGGAACAAAGCTCTATTGAAGCCGTAAGACAGAGATAACGGGGACATGAGAACATCATAAAAGAACGGCCTCAGCGGGAAATAATCCTCTCTTGTTTCATCAAGCATCAGTTCATTTTCTGCGTGAATCCCCTTCTTTCTTCTGTTCTCTATCGAGTTACAGACGCGTCATAGTTCCCTTCTTTGTATAACAGCATTATTTCTGTTTCTGTGTGCCTGTTGTCTGTTGTTTTTTTCTTATTTTCTGTGTATCCCTGGATGCATATACACAAAACAAATCTGTTGTAACAATGCACCCCTCCCTTTTCAGATCTATATTACATTACTGCAAATTACCTATCATTTCCTACCAACCTCTTTATTTATATTAATATGAAAAATAATAAGTAGTAGAGCATCGCTTTATCTGTTACTCTCATTGTATTTGATGTGTAACACATAGCTAATTCATATTC